GTCTCTGTCTGTGTCTGTGTCTGTGCCTGTGCCTGTGTCTGTTTGAGTTTGAGCATTTGAGTGGCCTAGCAAAGCGGGAGGCAAACACATACATGTTCTACCCAGTCAAAGCCTCGAACCCGCGCCCGAGACCGCATTCGGAGGGTCTAGAGAGACTGCGAGATTGCAGGTAACTTACATTGCTCCGCGCTCCGTGTACACCTCCGGGAAGGGCTCGAGCTCTGCCGGTCTTACCGCCAGCGTGAACCGCGACAACTCCACCGGTGACGTCACACTCGAAGGCGGTGCATTGGTGATGGCTGACTGCGGGGTGTGCTGCATCTTGGCTTTGAGTGGGTCTGGCCGTTGTTCTTTAGGCTGCGATGTACAGAAGCAAAGGAGAAGCGAGAGCCGGCAAGGTTGTGGTGTCAAAGCTCCGAAGCACTGACCAAGGCATCGATGAGTTCGACAAGATGGACGAAACTTGGGTGAGAATGGTTTGTGTTCGTCGTGACAGCCGCCGCGACAGGCAATTTCCAGAATTTGAAGGTGTAACGAACTAGATAAGACAACCAAGGAGAAGGACAGAACAGCGATTCATGAGGTCATGGAGCAGCAGACCATTAGTATCGCAAAGGCAGGCGTTACGACCACCCTCAACTGTCGAACGACAGTCTTGGCAGCAGCCAACCCCGTCTACGGCCGCTACAACCCGTACAAGTCTCCCGTGGAGAACATCGACCTCCCAGCAGCCCTCCTCTCACGATTTGACCTCGCTTCTCAGCTGCTGTCAGTAGGTTCTGCGGTTTGGTTCAGGCTTCCTGGTCACAGACGTGTAGAAGCATTGATGGATCCGTCCTCATCCCAAGGAAGCCGAAACCTTGTTCAGGGACATGTAGCCTTCAAGTCGCACGGCTCACTTGTTGCTGAGGTCTTCCTGTTGCTGGATACGGTGGATGGCGACAGGGACAAGCAGCTTTCCCGGCACGTCGCGGACGTCCGCAGCAAGTACCAAAAGCAGGAGCTTCTGCGGTTTAATGCCAAGCCCGGTTTTGGATGAACTGTTCTGGAACATGCACTGTGTGATCCACCCCGGTAAGCCCGAAGCATCCGTCGCAGCATCCAAGACCACTGCAGCTAGGACTCTGAAATCTACATCGAATCTACACCCTTAGTTCTACCTTCGTCTTGGCAGGCTCTTATTTGTGACATGGACCTGGATTTTGGACAAAGATGTTACAATGAGGACATGCATACCAGAGCCGGATGAGTATCACTAGTATAGTTTTCCTATGATTGCAGTAGGAGAAGATGCCATATTTGCATGTACTTGCAAGCAAATGCCGCTAGTATTGTTTGTGCAGCAATCGGCAGAACAGGCAGTGCTTAGAGTGGTCTTGATAAGGAGCCCTCACTGTACCCAACGGAAGATGACGAACCTAGAAAGCCACGGCAAACAATGCATAACCCCCACGCTTGGCCCGAGCAAGTCTGCAAAGCGAGGAAGCCGACGACAATCCCAGTGCTGATGCCGACGATGTTCTCAATCTCGGCTTCAAGCCTTTCGATTCTTGGATGACAGTTTGTGTTGCTTCTTGTAGTGGCGGCTAGTGACTGTTGCGGCTGCACTTGTAAGAAAAGTTAGAGCTGCCACGAGGCATGTTGGCATTCCTGTGGGCATGACATTGATGATGATGGTAAGAATCGTCGTAACGATGGTTAATCATACTACGACGACGACTACTACCTTACCACTGCTACGATTATTTTTCTAGTGTCATGACTACATCGAAGACGGCTACTACAGCTGCTGCTGCTGCTGCTACTACTACTACTACTACTTCTTCTTCTGCCACTTCTACAGTACCACCACTACTACTACTACTTCTACTACCACCACCACCACCACCACCACCACCACCACCACCACCACGACCACCATCACCACCACCACCACCACCACCACCACCACCATCACCACTGCTGCTGCTACTGCTACTGCTACTGCTACTGCCACTCCTACTACTACTACTACTACTACTACTACTATACTACTACTGTTACTACTCCTGCAACTGCTGCGGCTGCTGCTGCTACTACTACTACTACCACCACTACTACTATTACTACTACTACTACTACTACTACTACTACTACCACTACTTCTACTACTACTACTACGACTACGCCTACGCCTAC